ATATAATTGTTGTAAAAAAATATTTAAATAAATGATTTCCAAATTTTCTTTACATTGATTTTTAGTCGAAGATACAAAGATATTATAATAATTTTTGGGGAATTTTTCAAAGCTATTAACATTTTGAAAAACACGTGGGATTCGAAAGTGCATGATTGGAGGAATAAAGGGGCGGAAAAAACGTTGGAGTGAATAGGGATATATATATATTTACACATATATATACATATATACATATAGGTATGTACGACGACAACCGCGCTCGCAAGCCCACAATGACGGGGTACAGAGGTGCGAGACAGACCGGAAGTCGGCAGAATGAAAAATGACGTTCGACGTCCTCGACACGTTCGGAGAAAGTGCGGTGCATCTTAAAGCTGCAAGTCACCTATACGTTTCCGCGCTCGAACGCAAAGATGCGGAAACAGGCATGGCGTAAATTAAACGAGAGGATATATGTGAAAAGATATTAAACTTGAAAGTTACATCTAAAGAGGAAAGAAAAAAGAACTTAAGTCAATCCTTGGAAAAAGAGAATCTTTAGAATCTCTCACAGTATTTTTTACTTTTTTTAAAAATAATTTCAATACTATCGATCAAACTTTGTCCTTCTTCGTGTAACGTTTAAATAAAGAATTAAATTATTTTACGGCAGTCGACTTATTTGTCGAAATTATTTTTCATTTGACAATGAGTGTTAATAGGAAATGATGGGCTACCATCAATTCCGAAGATTAATATTAATTCTGATCCCGACTTCAATTACCGATTGGTTGCAGAATATAAAAGGGACACGTAACGAGATCCTATATAATATAACGAGCTTGTGAAAATGTCAGAGTGCTATATACTAAAATAACAAGACCAGTTTCGCGATATTCAATCAATCAATCAAGATTTTATTAGAAATGTCAAATGTTGGGGGGCGACAAATGCCATTGATCGAAAACCAAGAGGCATTAATACAATTGAAGATAACGGCCCTTGATTAACCACGACGTCATCAGGAATGCGTGCCGTGTAATTAAGGGAAATTTAATTGAGAGAGCGGTGTTGACTACCAGCGCGACATCGCGGGATAGAGAAACACCTGCGCTTTAGTAACACCTGCGCACACGCTTTTGCGACTACGTGCAATACGCGGCGACGGCGATGGAATAACAATATGCCGTACAAAAGAACGGCATCCGCCTATATCGTGAATGATTGACACGAGAAAACGGCGTGATGCCACGGCGACGCTGCGCTGCGCTACGCGCCCGTGTATTTATACCCGCATAGCGATGCGCATGGTAGCGTTATGCCCAATCTACAATAGCTGTAGTAAGCTGTAGTAAGCTGTAGTAAGCCTCAAGATGTAAGAAATTGACCAATCACAGTCGATTATTCTCCTCACATTCGCCTGTAATTGGTCAATTTCTTACGGCTTGAAGCTTACTACAGCTTACTACAGCTATTGTAGATCGGGCATTATACGCGTGCAATTCTCGCACGATTAGCCGCGATCTTACCCTTGACCGTATTATTCCAAGCAATTTCGATTAAATACGCGGAGAAATCATCTTTTTCCCGCGGACAAATGAACCGGGAATCAACACCGAGAAAAACAATAGCTATTATCATGTGTTCAGTGTGTCGTCGAGGCCGCTGGTAATCTTTGCAACGCCTGGCTTTAGAAAATACTTTCAAGGATAGCATGAAGCGTAGGACGCATCTTTTATCTAATCATTTTCACGACAGAGAAGTTCGTTTTCTCTTTTCGATCACGACTTCACCGTGGAGAAGCTTAGCAACAAGGACGCTGCGATTTGCAGCGAGAAAGATACGTCTCTCTCTCTCTCTCTCTCTGCGGTAATAATAAATATGAAGGGCACGCTAGACATAAAAGCGACGGCTTAGGCGACTTGTGCGTTTCTTTACGAGCTGGTTTCATTTCCATTTTACCTTCTTCCAATGAATAATCCATTGTGTTGCGATTGTTCGACATTTGCGCAAGACATTCGCTCTATTTGTCGATGGTAAGTTAAATTATCATTATATTATACATATTTATAAAATAAATACAAATTATTGTTAAATTTAGTTATTGTCTATTATTAATAAACTCTCGGCTTGAAAAGTCGTTCAATTTTTATGTTTAAGTTTTGTATCACAACACAGCAAACAAAGTAAATTTACCGCTCAGAATTAAAGTCTTAATTGCAGCTCCTTTTTGCCACTATGTTAAAAGGCAACGCGATAAAATTTAATTTCGACAAAAATCTGATAAATGACTCTGTTAAAACAAAGGCGGCATAAATGAGATCGTAGATTACGCCTCCATCGATTGCGCAATGCGTATTATTATCGGTTTTTACTGAAATTGCAATGTGAGCATCAGAGTAAAAAAACAGAACGAAAATATCCGCGTTTGAGATTAAGCACGCGACTGCTAACTTAAAGCGCCGAATGGAAGACCGAGAGTCATCGTAAGTAACAACTGATTAATCATTGACAGACGGAGGTTATATAAACACCTTCAGAAACTGTACTGTTCTCCACAACGTAAAATAATTGGAGCAAACATATATTTGGTATTTAAAAAGATTAGCGTTCGATTAAATCTCTATAAAAAAAATTATTCATAAAGAAAAGAAGAAAAAAAGAAAATAGTCTTCTGATCTTAATTCATTTACATTAATACAACTGTATGAGATCTACACGATTACGATAAAATAATTATCTACGATAAGAATTATACAAGTGGATGTGAAGTGAGGATACTTCAGATTCTTGTCGAACATTAGTGATCAATCATTATCGGAGCGACGCACGGGCGCATGAAATTCCGCGTCTTAAAGAGCGCCTCGTAAACACCGCAATCAGAAACGGGCCCGCTCTCGCGAACGCATTTCTTTATGATGATTAATAAAACGGATGAATCATGTTCGGATGTCAAGTTCGACGACCGGCCGGTTTATTCTTTTATTATTTGATGTCGAACAATACAAGCGGTACGAATTCGTTTAATAAAAGAAGTGAACGAGCGCGAGTGAATTCGTTTCTTTATATCTGTACCTATATCAAATATTTGCTCTTCCTGATACGAAGAAAATTGCATGGCTTCAAAATTGATTTCAAAATCACTTCCCAGTTATATAAAATTTTGAATTATGTAAATACATAATAATCGCGCGGATAAGTATCTCTCTCTTTCCATCTCCGTCAGTATCGATTAGTTTTCTGGAAAACGTGACTTTGTCATGACATTATAAATCAATGAGCAAGAACG